GGAACAAATGGTCCAACTCTTCAGCAGTTTTTCCTCCCTGGTATCACTCAGGGAGAAAGAGTCCAACCAACCTAGCTTTGATCAAGTGCCTACACTTTGGAAACAAATTGCCCACAGTGAGCAAAGAGAATTTCCCTGAAGGAAACCCAAGGGGTCTGTTTCATTTTGTAACAAAATAATAGGACAATAACAATGGTTATTACACTGTGTATCATTTTCAAAGTAGTTACTCAAGAGTACAAGACACAAACCAAAAAGATTCTTACAAAGAAGAAACAGATAGGGCCAGGGATTTGGCTCAGTGGTTCCACTGCCTTCCTTGCAAGTGCAAGGACCGGAGTTCAATCCCTGGTACAAAAAAAAAAAAACCACGATAATAACACAAAAACTTCCTTTTCAGTGAACTAAGATAAAATAGTATAAATGAAGCAAATTAGCATATATATTGAAATATTTTAAAACAAAGGAATATATAATTTGGGGAAGTATTTGAACTACTCCTTCCTATTTATCTTCTATTTTGCTCTTTGTGTGTGCGTATTTGTATTTCTCTTATTTCTCATTTGATATTGGAGCTTGTATGTCTGGTTTAGTTCCCTTAGCAGTATGTTCGCAAGTTGCAGTATTTTACCTATGATGTCTCAAGTTCATCTTTCTTTATGGCAGTGTGGTACTTCATTGTGCATAAATACACATTTTCTTTATCTATTCATCTGTGGATGGACATGTACACTGTTCCCAAGATAAATTTTACTGCTATAAACATAAGAATGTGTGTATCCAGGGGCCTGTTTCTAAAAAAAGGATGAAATAACAGATGTGCACTCCAAGCTCGAAAATGAAGAATGCCAGAAATGCAGTGAGTTCGGTAGGTGGACAACTGATTCTTAGGGTTAGATCAGAGGAGGTGGTGCTTGACAGGAACAGTTATCAGAGGAGAGGCCCCAGTCAGATGGACTGACAGATGTGTAATTATAAACCGGGAGGGGAATGTGCAAGAGGGGTACAATCCAGACAGGAGGAGCAGGGAGTGCATTAAACTAGCAGGGAGTGTTGAACTAGGATCTGAAGGAACAGGAATTATCTGAATAAGAAGGTGAGAACATATTTCAGGCAGAAGACATTGCTTATGAGATAACCCTGTTGAAAAAACACAGCTTATTCAAGGCACTGAAAGAAGGCCAGAAGCACAAAAGAGAAAATAGTACCATGTAGGGCTGAAAAGACAAAGACCATGAGTTCCTTGTTGTACAACAAGAATATCTATTAAATTGAGTCTGGTGATGGCTGTGCCTTGAAGAATGAGTGAGTGTTTAGAGTCAGTGAGGTAAGTGAGAGCATTCATTACAAAGAAAATCTGCATTAGCTGTCAGGTACCAAGACTGTCCAGAAAAGAGTGGCAGAAGTGTCTGGAAAGATGGGTAAGGGAGTGACTATGTGGTCTATGCAACAGTGAAGATCAGCAAAAGCAGTGCCCATGGTAGAGGGAAGAAAGTCTGCATTTAGAAGTGAGAGATACAGGGTCCACTGAAACTTTCTTGGAGAAGTGGGTGGTAGTGCCATTATCACAAAAACATACATGTCTGGGAGGCAGGGTAAAGATAAGAGATTTGCAGCATGTTGAGTTAGCGGTGACCTGGGCCATTTAGGAGTGATGTATATATAGGAGGTAACCAGTGTGAAAAGGGGTTGAGAAAAACATTTGAAATGAAAAGCAATTATCAAGAGGCCTGGAAAGGCCTGGAAATGGAAATGATACCTTGGAGGATGTTGAAATAGTTCATCTGGCTGGGGTAGGAGGTGGGCTCCAGGCAGCCTGCAGTGGCTGTGTACCTTAACAGCTTTATGTTAAGCTTCTCTAATCAGGCTGGAATGAGAGACAGGACTGTCCATTCTGCTCTTCAGAGGAGGTGGAGTTCATAATATAGCTCCCTCAAAGAAAATTTTGAGGCTGGGAATTTAGATCAGTGATTCTGCCACCTGCCTCACAAATGCAAGGTCCTGAGTTCCATCCCCAGTACCAAAAAAAAAAAATTTTTTTTTGAGATCCTCTCTTCATCTCTGATAACAAGTTACTTTTATATTTGGTGCAGGGAGGGCCATTAGAATTATATGACAAGTTTTCAGCTATTTCCTTTGAAATTCCGTATCTTGGTTTTGTTTTGGTGTTACCTTAGAATGCTGACTGAGACTTTCATCTCATAGTAGTTTAATTTAGATTTATAACTTTTTTTTTTTTTTTTCCCAGGGATCAAACTCGGGTCCTTTTGCTTGTGAGGCAGACGATGGAACCACTGAGCTAAATCCCCGGCCTTAGATTTATAACTTTTGTGACCAAGTAATCCAGATGAGAAGAGTCAACAGATATTGATTGAGCATCTCTGTAGTACGTCCATGCCACATATTCCTCACACACTGTTAAGTGCTGGCTGAATTTTGTCCATGTCCAAAGCCATGTTGTGGTTGATTCACATAACCGTTAGATATCTTTCTTGAATCTACTGTCAATATTTATAGATCAAGAGATTCTACTTTAAAATTTTTAAATCTCTGGCTTGAAAAATCAGATGTGGAAATGCTGTGCCTGTGTTGCTGCCTGGCAAGTTAGCTGGAGCTGGTGGAGGCTGCCCCTCCACAGGGCATCCAAGGGCTCCACTGCAGCCAAGAAAGTGTCAATTAAGAAACTTACCTTTTCTTAAAAAAATAAAGGGGAATGTTTCTGGTACTGTGTCTCTTAATAAAAGAAAGGTAGATCATGAAAGCCATGAAAGGAACAAAATTATTTTAGAAATTCACTTGTTTTTATTTGTTTATCATGTAATCAGTGTGTGTATGTAAAACTCAAAATACCACTGAAAGTAATTATAATTGTGATTACAGTACAGGAGGAGTGTGTGTTGTGAATTGAATAACAGTATTTCAGTAGGTTTTTCATGTAACTACAGTAAGTGGTATGAGCTATTGCAAAAGGGTATTACATTCTCCTGTTTCCCACATTTGTATTGATATCTTTTGTGGTGTCAGGACCTTGCGCTTTTGAGGCAGACCCAGTGCCACTGACCTACATCCCCGGCCCTTTTGTATTGGGATCTTGCTTGGCCCTTGATGTTTGAGTTTGCCTCTCTGGAAGGAGTCTGCCAGAGGGTGGGTGCACTGCGCATGCAGGAGTCTTGCTTAGGTCTGAGGAACAGTGGCATGATGACTGTCATAAGGTTGTCACCGTATGTATTTGGCAAATTGATGAAGTTTCTTTTTCATGGAATGACACAATAGAAGTGTTTAAAAAGTACTAAACTTTCAAATCAACTTTTTACAAATGGAATTTTTAGTTTTTTTAAATGAATGTTTTCTACTACTTTTTATAAATTCTTGATAAGTTAAGGAAATGCTCATCTATTTGTGTGAATCAGAACAAAACCAGAATTGTTTTGAGCCAAGCTTCATTTGCCCAAGGGAATTCTCTTGGGAGGCAAGCCCTCCATTGAGTTATGTGTCCTAGTTGACATCTTTGATGTTAAGAAGAGGATTTGCTCTCTGACCGCAGCTCAGCTGATTGTGAAAGCCAGGCATCTGGACTTAACTGGCCTTGCAGAATGACTTCTGTGTAGTACTTGTCAGCATGTATAACTTCCCCCTCTTAGCTATTCATTGGTTACTATAGCCCAAGTTCCTCGAAAGTTTTGCTTCCTGGCCTTCCCTCTCCTGTGTTTTTGTTGTGATATTCTTCTGTTTTATCTTCTGAGTGAACCAGGCCAGCAGAGTACGGCATTCATAGGCCACTTTTATGTGCATACATTCCCTCACACACGCAGCAGTCTTCATTATACAATTTTTTGAGGACACAGGAAATTTCCCTTGAGACTTAGCATTGGAAATAGGTACATTTCTCCTGGTTTATTTTGTGGACTGTGTGAACCATGAACTCAGTACTTGGCTGTAGCTGTGAAAATCTTGGAAACAGAGATGTAACCCTGCAGCAAGCACATAGAATCACAGGCATTCGCTTGGTATTCTGCTTCCCTAAGCTACAGTTTATTATTTTCTATATTCTTAACTGCTTAGCCCCCAAGGTCCTTTTAAAAATGTTTCTTGTCCATGTAATTTTTTTTTTTTTTTTTTTTTTTTGGTACTGGGGATTGAACTTGGGTCCTTGGGCTTGTGAGGCACGCACTGGAACCACTGAGCTAAATCCCTGGCCTTTGTCTGTATAATTTTGTAAAACTGTTTCAGCCTCACTTGAAAATGAGGCTAAATATTAAAAATATTGATGGCTTAGTATTGCAGACATCTTACTGGCTTGTCTTTAAATTTTATTTTAAATCTCAATTCTTTATGTAATTATTTCTATCAGTTCTCTGTGACTACTGCAGCAAGAATTGCTGCCATGGATTTGAGGAGCACTTGACTACCACACATACACCTCAGTCATCCTTGCTCATTTAGCAAATAATGTGCTCAGAGCTAAGTGGAAGCAGAGATTGCTTCAAACCCTCTTCGAAGCTTCCCCAGTATCTAGTTCTGTGGTTTACTAAATTATAGTTTCAAGTTCCTTATTCCTTAAACAAAATTTTTTTTTCTTTGAGACAGGGTCTCACTGTGTAGTTCAAGCTGGCCTTGAACTCACTATGTAGCTTAGGCTGGCCTTGAACTTGCAGCAGTCTCCCAAGTGCTGGGATTACAGATGTGCACCACCATGCCTGGCACATATTCTTCATTTATGTAGGAAGGCAGTTCTCTACCCATGTAGGACAGGTTGGCCTAGAAGACCTAGTAAATCCACTGGCATTGAACCTGGGCCTTCACAGAAAAAGTTGTTCAGGAGATGTTTGTGATTTACATTTAGTTGTGGCTTCTGTTTTGGTTCTGTTTTTTTTTTAAAACAGTTGAATTATATTCTTTTCCAAGGGCTCTCCATCTCTATGGTCTAGGTCTAGGGAATGCAGTGTGCTAGTGTCAGCAGTGGCTTGACTTTACTGATGTTTTCTGCTTTTCTTTTTCAGAGTATGATCGGTTGGGCTTCCTCCTGAAACTGGATTCTAAACTGTGAGTAAAATGAGAAAATACGTTGGCTGTGTTATGGAGAGTTGTGAAATTTGGGAGTCTAACTTTGAGGGGGCAGTTCTCTCACCCCTGTGGTCGTGGGGCATTCCTAGGGGATCTGTCCATCAGTTTGTCAGCAGAAGCTTTGAGCATGTTGCAGTCCATCAGGTCTTGGGAAGGATAGAGTGGGGAGTGCAGACATGAGCTCTTGATTTGGCTGGCACAGGCAGCTCTGTTTAGGAGGCTACTGCCAGGGGTTTGAGCGACAAAGGAGCCCTTGGAAAGGCTTTTCCCCCAGAGTAGAGAGCAAAGAGTTACTGAAGAAGATTCTTTTCCACCTGGCATGCAAAGTCTTCTGTATTCAGTCCCCTGACTTCTTTTCCAGCTTTAGATCCTGTCTCTGCTGCCTCAGGTGGACCCTCCTTTTCCCTCAACCCTTGTAGATGCTTATTACTTGTGCCCTCAACTCTCTTGCTTTGCTAGTCCACTTGGAAAACTCAAAGATCATTTCCTTCCTACACAAAACTCTCTCTTCTTCTAGGGCTTCTTTAAATTTTCTGTCTTTGTTACCAGTTACCTTGCTATATTATAATTAACTGTGTAGTGATTATTACTTTATTAAGGGCCTAGACTCAGAGCCAGGCAAAGCTTGGTTCAAGTTCCAGGTTGCCATTTATTCTCTTTCTGATTTGGGGCAAGCTGTTAAACCATTTTGAGCCTCAGTTTCATCTGTAAGATGTAGATAGCAATATATACCAATTTTACAGGGTTTTCTAAAACGATTTAGTTGAATTGATGAATTCATAAGGGGCTTTCAAATAAAGGATATCTGATCCAGAATTTTTCCCTTTCTGGCCCTCATGGTCTCCCTAGTGCCTAGAGAGCACAGACATATTTGTTAGGTGCTCAGCAAGTTCTGGATGGATGCGTGGATGGATGATAGGTGGATAACTGGGCACTTCCCTAGTTGACCAGCATGCCTTGAATGCTCTTCCCCTCGTGAGACCACTATATTTAGATGCTTGTAAAATCCTCATACCACATCCCATGACTTTTTTTTTTTTTTTTTTTTTTTTTTTTTTTTTTTTTTTGGTGACAGGGTCTCACTATATAATTCAGGCCAGCCTTGAACTTACCATGTAGCTCAAACTGGCTTTAAATTCGTGGCAGTCCTCTTGCCTTATCCTCCCAAGTGTTGGAGTAATAGATGTGTACTGCCACACCCAGCCCATGACTCCTTTCTTGTTGGTCATCTCTGTGCATCTGTATTCCCTGTCCTGACCAAGACAGACATCATGAAAAATCACAGTTGTGTCTCCTTTCCTCTCCTGCACAGGCTTTATCCGCAGCTGCTTTAGGTGGTGATAGTCACACATACACAAAAGACCTTGGAAGAGGGGCTGTTTGCCTTTCTCACTGAATTGTCTGCTACCTGATCCCTTTTCCTAGAACCTAGTTTCTTGGCTGTGGTGCCTTTTACTATGAGTTCAGGCAGTTGTAATTCTCTCAGCTTTGGTATATCATCAGCTAGTAGAGAGATGCCAGCCGGATGTTAACATCTGGGAAATGGGGCTTGATTGTGCCAGAAAGCCATAGGCTTCGCTCTTAGAAAATCTTTAATTTAGGGCTCTGGGCAAAAAGAAAAAAAAAAACAAAACAACTATAAGCCATAAGCAAGTGAAATGCCACCAGAACAGAAGAGATACAGTAATTACCAAGTGGAATCACATCGATAACAAAGGATATGTTATTGAGGACATGATAACTACAGTGTTTAAGCTGTCTTCAGCAGCAGAGGAGGAGAAGGAGGAGGGTGCTTCCGCCCTGCTATCTTGACAGCTGAGTGTTACAGAATGAAATTATCAGTTGTGAAGCTTGCTGTTGTCTCCAAGCCAGTTCCATGAAATATCTGAGTCAACTTGGTTTTTGGAATTGGCTCGTCCCCATTAATTTAACTCATGATCTAAGGTATAAACTAGAGCTTTCCTGCCTGTTGCTACAGAGGTTTCCATATCGGTGTTGTGTAGAGAAGAAAACACGGATCTGTAGAAGTGTTTCTACCTTCTTCCAAATTAAGGGAGATGTTTCCAAATTAAGGATTCTGCTTTTTTTGTTTTGTGCTTTATGCTTTTTGGTGGGGTGGGGTGGGGAGGATTCATTAGCAAAGTTTAGATCTCCAGATTGAAATTCTGCCTCTGCTGCCTGGTATTACATGACTGTAGGTAATTCATTTTAGCTTTCTGAGTCCCAGTTTTTCTTTTTTAAAAAAAGTAAACAATTAGCATTAACTTCCTATAGTTTTATGAAGAATAAAAAAGGATTATGTACATATCATTAAGAATACAAATGTAAGGATTTCTTTTCATTTATCTTGATTGAGGTGTATTTAACTTCTTGAATATAAGAATTCATATGTTCTGGAAGTTCTTCAACTATCTTTTTTTTTGGCATGGGGGATTGAACTCAGGACCTCAGGACGTCATGCTTGCCAGGCAGGCACTGTGCCACTGATCAGCTATCCTCTCTTAAATGTTGCCTCTGCTTCAATCTCCACTCCTTTATTCTCTCTATTCCTCTTCAAAAACTGATTAAATTTTAGACCTTTTTGATCTAGTCTCCAGTTCTATTAGTCTTCCATATTTGACACCTATTTTTACCCTTTCCATACTAAACTATAATCCCAAAGGACTCAGTATAAGGATAAACTAGAATTAAGTCTGTAGCCCTAGGCCAAGACTACAGAAATGATTTCCAGAGCTCTGAGGGAATTAGAATAGATAGTTAATAAAACCAGTTGATACTCATTGCCAAGGTTCTCATCATTCAGGTGATCTAGGGGATCTCAAGCCACTGAGATCATCGTGGACTGTTCTAGATGTCATTGTGCCACCCTGCACCTGGCAGAGACAAATCCAAACTCTGTCTAGAGAAAGACACTAACTCCTCACAAGTAACTTTTTAAGGAAATGAGCATCTCACAGTAAAAAATAACTAAATATACAAGGAAACAAGTTCTCATTAACTAAAACCATGAAAAACAACAGACAACAGAAGAGAACCCACAAAGATTTCTGAAATTGGAATTACCAGTGTCTTAGTCACTCTCATTAGCTGGACAAAATACAGTACCCAAAGCCCACAACTTAAGGGAGGAGAGGTTTATTTTGGCTCATGTTTTCAGTCTCTGGTTTGCTGGCTCTAAGGCAGAAAGGGCTTGGGCAGAGGAGAACTGCTGTCAGCATGGCAGCCAGGAAGCAGAGAGGGAAGAGAGGAGCCATACCCCAAGGTCTTCCCTTCTCGGGTAACACTCACAGTGTCCTGCCCCTTCCAGCCAGGCCTTGCCTCCTAGCAACACTCAGCTTGTGTTTACCAGTGGTTTGATCCACTCGTGAATATAGCTTCCCATGATCCAGTTACCTTCTAAAAGCCCTTTTAAAGACTCCAAACTTTTAGAAGACTTTGTAGATCTAAACTGTAATGACCAGACACAGTTTTTTTTTTTTTGGTACTGGGAATTGAACTTGGGTCCTTGTGCTTGAGTGGAACCACTGAGCTAAATCCCCGGTCCCAGACACAGTTTATAAAGCAATTATATACACTATATTTAAAGAAATAAAAGACAAGACTGAACATGTGCATAGAATAGGGAACTATGAAAAGTAAAACATAAGATTTTAAAACATCAGACTTCTAGATTTGAAAAATACAATGACCAAAAATAAAAACTGAATAGGAACATTAAGCATCAGAATAGGCACAATTGAAGGCAGACTTAGTGAATTGATGGTATAAGTCAGAGGTTCTCACAGGGGTCAGCAAACTTTTTCTGTTAAAGGCCAGATAGTAAATATTTTAGGGTTTGGAGACTTTATTGCCTCTGTCACAGTTGCTCAACTCTACAATTACAATATGAAAGGAGCCATAGAAAATACATCAATAAATATAGCTATATTCCATTACCACTTATTTTATGACAGAGATTTTAATTTCATATGTTTGTATCCAAAAATATGCTTCTTTGTATTTTTTCCCCACAGCCAAAGACTTTAACTCATGGGCTTGGGATGGGGTTCCTACAAAAACCTTGTCTTTTGACTGCACAGTGTGATATACAGGAAGAGAGTGTGTTTTGGTGGTTAAAAACATAGCCCACAGGGTCAGACATGGAGTTTCAAGGCCCTGTTCTATGTTGTGCTACCTCCAATCTTGAGCATTGTTTAACCCCGTCTCAGTTTTCCATTCTAATGTGTGGAGAAGAGTAGTAATAGCCAAAAGATGAGACTTGACTGTCTTGTACCATCATCTCTGTCTGGTAAGCTGGGAAAGATGTCAAAAAATGACATCAGGACTCAATATTCTTCCTGCTTCATACCCAGAGATTGCAAATTTAAGTAATATGGTCACTGAAAAGGTCGTGTTTGAACAGAGATGCAAAGTAAATGAGGGGTTAGTCCTGTCCCTGTCTGGAAGCAGCATGTTCAGACAGAATCCTAGGGAAATCTCAGTCTCAGGAGGATACAGCACCATGAGCTAGGAGTGTGCCCATCAGCACAGGGAGAGAAGGGCCATCCAGACACCTCAAAGGAGCCAGAGCCTGTTGTTAGGTGTGAGGTTGCCAAACTGCTGTGAGCCTTTTGGATGTGGATTTGACTAAATGGAAGTTGTATCTATTTCAGCTGGATGTGGGTAGGTGCTCTGAAAGCTGCTACAACATGGTGTTTTATAGTTACCAGGTGTGCAAGAGCATGGGTTTTATTGCGTAGTCTAATTTGACACAAAGATACAAAAGCTTAAATCAACAACTTTTAAGCCTCAGAGCACTGTGAAGAAATAAGTAAGTTGTGGAAGGCCTGTAAACATAGGCAGTCTGAGTACAGCTGAAGGAAGCCTGGTGGCACACACCTGTAAAAAAAAAGCTGGGACAGGAGGATCACAAATTCAAGGTCAGCATGGGCAACATAGCAAAAACCCATCCCCAAACAAAACAAGCAAATAAAATATAG